GCGCAGCAGCGCTTGGGGCAGCACGGGCCCCGCCGCCCCGTTTCGAGCCGGGGAGGCCGGCGAAAGTCCCTCTGGTGGGCTGCCGGAGCAGAGGGAGGCCTGGGAGTATTTGCCGAAGTGGCCAGCAGCCACCGAGCCGTACCTTCCCTCTTCCCTGCCGGAGAACTCCAACTACTTAGCAATTCCTGTAAAAGCCCCCAAATCCTCCCCGATGCCAAAGCTGCCCTCTGCTGTCCCCAACCCGGCCAGCAGGTCCTTTGGGACCCCCGTGGTCCCCAATCCAGCTAGCACATCCTTTGGGACCACCATGGTCCCCAACCCAGCCAGTGCATCCTTTGGGACTCCCACAGTTCCCAGCCTGGCCAGCACATCTTTTGGGGCCCCCTTGGTCCCCAAGCCAGCCAATGCATCCTTTGGGATGCCCATGGTCCCCAACCTGGCCAGCACATCTTTTGGGGCCCCCTCAGTCCCCAAGCCAGCCAGCACTTCCTTTGGGACCCCCACAGTCCCCAACATGACCAGCTCATCTTTTGGCTACCCATCAGCCTCCAGCCTGGCCAGCACATCATTTGGGGCTCCCTTGGTCTCCAACCCCACCAACAAGTCGTTTGGGACCCCCTTGGTCCCCAACCCATCCAGCGCATCCTTTGGGACCCCCACAGTTCCCAACCTGGCCAGCACATCTTTTGGGACGCCCTTTGTCCCCTACCCAGCCAGTGCTTCCTTTGGGACCCCTTTGGTCCCCAACCTGTGTGGCGCATCCTTTGGGACGCCCTTGGTCCCCAATCCATCCAGCGCATCCTTTGGAACCCCCTTGGTCCCTAATCCATCTGGCGCATCCTTTGGAACCCCCTTGATCCCCAATCCATCCAGCTCATCCTTTGGGCCTCCCTTGGTCACCAACCCAGTCCCCACTTCCCTTGGGTACCCTTCAGTCTCCAACATGGCCAGCTCATCCTTTGGATCCCCTTTGGTCCCCAACCTAGCTGGTGCTCCCCTGGGGACCCCCATGTCCCCCGTGGCCAGCGGGGAAGCGCCCTGGAGCAAACCCAGCCCTGACGCTCCCCTGCCCCAGGAGGGCCCGGCTGCTGCAGAGCACCCAGTGCCGCTGCCCCCAGCCCAGCCCCAGCCTCGCCTCGAGGACGTCCCCCATTTCCTAAGGAGGACTGACGGTGCCACACCGGGCAGTAAGAGCACGCCGAGCCCCACCAAGCCCTTTGCCCCACACCCGACCGCACACCGGAGGATGCTCGTCGATCCCGACAGTGGGAAATGCTACTACATGGAGCCGCCACGGCAGCCCCAGCTGAAAACACTCTACGACCCCGAGACGGGGCAGTACCTGGAGGTGCTCGTCCCACCGGTGGCATCACATGCCAGGCTCTACCAGGCTCCTTTCAACCCCCTGGTCATGCCCCCAGGGGTCTATGCTCAACCCTACATGCCCTATGGCAGCTTCCCGGGGCTCCCGGGCGGC